CTGTTAGGAAAATAGATTAAATTAAAAGAAATAAATTAGTGTAAGTCTATTTAATCTATTTCAAGACATAAATTTGTCATTTCTTTCTCTGTGTATATTTGAATTCTGCCAAACACTAATACCACATGGAAGAGACATATGGCATGTTTAAAAAAAAAAGAATACCCCAAACTGCTGTGGAAGAATGTTTTCCTAGCTACACAGGCCCTGGTTTCTATTCCTGGGACTTAAAAAAACCTGCAAAGCACCCCCATTTCATTATTAGCTAATAAATGCAATGACCTCAAAGTGAAGAGAGAATCCACCAGGGCACAGAAACTCATATAATCATCTTTATCTGAGAATCTGTATTACATAGTAGCACTCATTCTGTATGTTATAAGGTAACATGGTACATGAAGTAAATACAGTGATTGCCTTAATAAGCCAGTATTTCCTACGTGTAACATAATATTTTATGTTACCATGTTCCTGACTTGCAAGACTCAACATTAAGAGTTTAGTTTTCTCAGGCCAGGTGTGGTGGTGCACACCTTTAATCCCAGCATTCGGGAGGCAGGCAGATCTCTGTGAGATCAAGGCCAGCCTCATCTATATAGGGAGTTCCAGGTCAGCTGGGGCTACAGGGAGACCCTGCCTCAAAAACAACCCCCCCTCCCAAAATAGTTCTCTCCAAATTGAGCTAAAAAACTATTAATGAGACCACAGTCAAGCTTATTTTTTTGTAGAAATCAATAAACTGGTTGTAAATTTTTTGTGTCTGGTATGTGTGTGCACATGCGCATTTGCCTGTGAGTGCGTGTGTTAGCAACACTGGGTGTTTTCCTCTATGGTTCTCCATCTTATTTATTATTTTATTTTTGGATTTTTTTTTTTAGACAAGGTCTCTCAAAAAAAAGTTAATTCTAAATTAGGGGGCCAGAGAGATGGCTCAGCGATTAAGAGCACTGACTGCTCTTGCAGAAGACCCAGGATCAGTACCCAGTACTCATATCCAGCAGCTAAGAACTGCCCATAACTCCAGTTCCAGGGGATCTGCTGCTATCTTCTAAACTCTGTAAGTACTGCACACACATGGTACACAATTCATTCATGTAGGCATTCACACATACCATAAAATTAAAACGAATGAATGTTTTATAAAATGGCCTTTTTATTTTTAATGTTTTAAAAGATATTTTATTACTTTTATTTTATATGTATGAGTGTATTGTCTATATGTATGTAAGTGCACCCGTGTTGTGCAATGCATGAGGAGGTCAGGAGAGAGTGTCAGATCCCCTGGAACTGGAGTTAGAGATGGTTTTTAGCCTCCATGTGGATGCTGGGAATTGAACCCGGGTCCTCTGCAAGAGCAGCCAGTGCTCTTAACTGCTGATCCATCTTTCCAGCCCCCCTTTTATTCTTTTTTAAAAAATTAACTACTTGTGATGCAGTTTTTAATGCCCACTTAAAGTATAAATTGAGAGTTTGGGGCTTGACTTTTTTTTGAGACAGGGTCTCACTCTAGCTTTAAACCTGCCATCCTCTTGCCTCAGCCTCCCAACCTGAGTTTAAAGGATGTTTACACTTGTGAAACCACCGCAGTTAAAGATAAATTATCTCTCAAGTGTCTATTAGTACCATTAAACTGCACTCTGTCACCATAGATTTATTGGTATTCTCTGGAATTTTATTAATGGAATCATTTATTAATCATATGTTTCTTAAATTAGCTTCTTCCACTTACTGCAGTAAGATGGCAGCTTTTTAGAGTCATTCTTTTTTTTTTTGTCTCTTTGAGACAGAGTCTCCCTGTAGCCCCGGCTGTCCTGAAACTCACTATGTAGACCAGGCTGGCCTTGAACTCACAGAGATCTGCCTGCCTCTGCCTCCCGAGTGCTGGGACCACAGGTGTGCGCCACCACGCCTGGCTCTTCTTTTTATTGTATGTATCATTAAGTTGTTTCTAGTGATGAATTGATTCCCTTGTATGAATATTTCCATTGCTATGCAAATGCTACATTTTTATGTATCCATGTGGGCTGTTCCCAGTTTAGGCTTTTATGAAAAAAGTTGCTATGAATGTGCCTCATTTTCTTGGATAAATTGGGGAATGTCTTGAGTTGTGTGGTAAATGTATGTTTGACTAATAAGAAACAGACGGGCTACTTTCACACGTTTCACATTCACATTCCTGCTAGTTAGATGTGAGAGATGCAGCTCGTTCTCTGTCTCCTTACGTGTCACAGTATCAACACAGACGTGTTGCGAGTTAAGTGCTGGTCACTCTGGGGGTTCATGGTGCTGTCTCAGTATAGTTTTAGTTCCTTGATGACTAGAATGTCTATGATCCTTTCATACACTTCTGGGCTATTCTTCGGTGAAGTGCCTGTCCAGATCTTTAGTCCACTAGTCTTATCTTGAGTTGTATATATTCTTCACATATACTGAATACAAGTTTTTATCAGATACACTTGCAAATATTTTGTACCGGTATATTGCTTCTTTGTTTTCTGAAAAATACCTTTCAAAGAGCAGGTTGGTTATTTTTAAAAAATAAAAGGCAGGGCTGGAGAGATGGTATAGTGGTTAAGAACACTTGCACTAAAACATAAGCAGACAATACATTCATACACATAAAATAAAAATAATAAATAAACCTGGGCATGGTGGTGCACGCCTTTAATCCCAGCACTGGGAGGCAGAGGCAGATGGATCTCTGTGAGTTTGAGGCCAGCCTGGTCTACATAGTGAGTTCTAGGCCAGCTGGGGCTACGGGGGGATCCTGTCTCAAAAAGACAAAAAATAAGATTAAATTAAAAAAACAAAACATACAGAGAAGTAGAGAGCCCAAACATAAATTAAGGAGGAGGAGGACAGAGAGGAGGAGGATTAGGAGGAGGAATATGAAGAGGAGGAGGAAGAAGAGGAGGAAGAGGAGGAAGCAGCAGTTACAGTTTACTAAATTGCAGGACGCGGTTTTAAAAATGGCAGTCTACTAGCTTCAGGAGCTCACAAAATCCATTAGATTTGACCCACTAAAAATTCAGGAAGCTCTTTGTCTCAAGGAACCTTGAGAGCTAGAATCTACCACACTGCTGTAGGGCTGAGAGGCATAATTTAAAGAAACAGATTGCCAAATTACCTGAATTCAAACCCCAAATCCACAAATCCACTATTTATTATAATAGCTCTGTAAACTCCGGCAACTTACCCATCCTTAAGGGTCTGGATTTCCTTATCCATTGCTATTAATAATTAAGTGACAAGAACTATCTTGTCTTAGATATTATAGAAGTCTCCTTCTGTGTGTGGGGTTCATTCCACAAACCTCAGTGGATACTCTGCAGCTGCAGATGGCATCAAACTGTACAGTGATCCCAATTTCTTCTTGTACATACATACTTATAATGAAGTTTACTTCTAAATTAGATACAGTAAGAGATTAAATGGCAAGTAGTAATAAAAGAATACTTATTACAGAGACTCTAATAACAGTTATGTAAATATAGCATCATTTCCTGGGTTTGGGTCCTGGAATGCCTGAGTGAAGAAGCTAGGACCTAGGATCTAGAAGCACGCACTCTTGACTGTGGACTGATGTGACTAGCCGTTTCTCCTGTTGCCTTGACATTAGTGCTATGATGGACTGTGACCTTGAACTGTCAGATAAGATAAATCTTTTTGCCCCTAAGTTGCTTTAGTCAGAGGATTTTATCACAGCACAGAAATGAAACCAGGCCATCAGGCATGCACCAGTGTACCCAGCTTAACTTTACTTATCTGAAAAATATTTTATATTAATATGTATTTTCTTGACTAGTAGTTAGTTACTTTTCCATTGCTGTGATACAACATCATGACCAAAAGTGACTTATGGAAAAAGCTTATTTGGGCTTACCATTCTACAGGGCAAGAATCATCACGGCTGGGAGGCATGCAGGAAAAGGTGGGCATGGGGCAGGGGCAGGAAGCTGAGAGCTCCTATCTTTATCACACAGAGTTAACAGCAAGTAGGGTGAAGCTATGCACTCAAAGTTCCCCAGTATGTGCTTCCTCTAGCAAGATCAAATGTTCAAATATCTGGGGAACATTTCTCATTCAAACTACCACCATAGTGGTAGGTTTTTAGTCATATATTTCCTTTGTTCATTTTTTAAAAAAATTTTTGGTCTTTTTGAGACAGGGTCTCCCTGTAGCACCAGCTGTCCTGGAACTCACTATGTAGACCAGGCTGGACTTGAACTCACAGAGATCTGCCTGCCTCTGCCTTCCGAGTGCCAGGATCAAAGGCGTGCGCCACCACGCCCGGCTTTTGTTCATTTTTAAAAATAAGAATTCTTCAAATCAAAGTTAATTTTCACAGAAAAATTAATGAGGTGGAAATAACTACAAATCACAAGGGATTAAAAAAATCTACCAGCCCATGCTTCTAAGAAGTTTAAATAATTTTAACATGAAGTTTTCATTTACTTTTATGTTTACTGAAGTGTCAACACTAGGAACATTTGCACACATTAAGTTCTTTATATTTTACAGGCCTGTCTGTCTGTCTGTCCGTCCGTCCGTCCATCCATCCATCATCCATTATGCATGCCTCCATGTAGCTGAGATTATAGGCATCAGTCTCAATGCCCTGTTCTGACGTCACAGGAGACATCACAATATCTTATTTCAAATTACACTTCAGAGCTATAGAAACAAAAACAGCATGGTACTAGCACAAGAACAGACCGGCAGATCAATGGAATGGAATAGAAGTCTCATAAATAAACCCACACAGCTACAGTCACCTGATTTTGGACAAAAGTGCCAAAAACACACATTGGAGAAAAAGGCAACCTCTTTAACCAACGATGCTGGGAAAACTAGACATCTACATACGCAAGAATGAAACTTGAACCTTCACCTTTCACCCTGTCCAAAAATCAATTCAAAATGGATCAAAAACCTTAATATAAGACTTGAAATTCTTAAGCTGCTAGAAGAAAATACAGGGAAAACACTTCAAGATATAG